TTTGCGCCTTTGTAGATCATATGATATGATTATTGGTTATTTGGTTTTGTTGTGCGTATGTAAGGAGCTTTTCTTTCCATGAACATTTCTTTTTGTAATGTTTGTGAGTCGACCAATGTGTCTTTGTATAGAGGTCAACTTATTATGTTTGTTATTGCTCAAGGATTTTCAATCGCTAGTGCTTAATTTCTCTGGCCATGAAAACGAATTGCTTTTTAAATGACTAGATGCTAAAATATAAATTATTATCGACCCACCTTTTAACGGTTTAAACTTTTGAGATAGATTGATAAATTAATGTTACACCATGGTCGACCATTCAAGCCACCCATTTTTGTCTTACACGTTGAGAGCTCTGAAAGTCAGGACAAATCCCTGATGTCGAGAACTAACAGTTAAGGAGATGTCTCTGAGTCGAGGAGTCAAGATGTTGGAATCGAGAAGTGCTTAAGGTCCTCTCAAGACCTTTGCGTCATTGAAGTCGAGAAATATGCTAAAAGCCCTTTGAAGCCTCTGAGTCGAGGAGTCAGGAATTAGATCAGACCGGAAGCAATCCAGTCAAATCCAGCAGCGGTCTTGTCAACTCGAAAAGAGAAGTATTGATCCGACTGCTACTGCAGGAGTCAAGAAATCAGGCGACAGACAGGAAGGATCAGCCGCGTTTCCCAGAAAACCGAGAAAAAGGAGAGAGACCATTTCATGAAAAAAGAAAAGAGAGTTTGTAACCGGTTGAAAGATTAGTGCATGCACAAGTGGATTAGGCAAAGAGTTATTGCCGAACCACTATAAAACTCTTGTCTCCTGTGTGTTATTTTTGTGCATTAATCCTTAATTGAACCGCGAGTGTTTTTGGGAGAGGTAAACACGAGTTGTCAGAAAAATACCGTCAACAATTGGTGCTAGAAGGAGGGCCAAAAGCCTAGAAATTCAATCCAGTTTTTAACCAACTATGCCTCCCAGGAACACTCGCTTACTGTCGGCTAACCCAATGAGTCAGGCGCCCCAAAATCTCACCGCCGCGGGGACCTCAACGAATCCGCTCCCGCCGGCTGCCGAGAATCCCCCAGACCATATTGACAAGCTCCAAAGGCAGGTCGAAACACTGGCCGCAGCCGTGGAAAGGATGGCTACGGCTCTTGCTGGGTGGGATCCAGGGCAGAACCCAATGCCACCGCTCGAAGATGCGCCGATGAACCCGGTGAACGCCGCTGTTAGGGGCCAAGGGATTGGCGACCAACGTGGTGACGCCGAGGAAGCCGGTGATAGTCGAGCCAATGATCCCCACCCGACTAAGTCGAATAGGTCTGTGGGGAGCAAACAACGCGCGGCACGGAGGAGAGCGCGGGAGAAGGCTGCGGTACAAGCTGTGAATAACAGGGATGCGCCCCCTCGACCGCAACAGGATGCGAATAGGAGGAACGCTGTCCCCGTGGGATCTTCGTCTGTGCACGGCGGAGACCTTAGGACGAAGCTCGACGCTCGACGTGGGAAAGCCTTGCAGCTAGCGAGAGAGGAAGAGCTCGCAGCAGATAACAAGGCTCTGGCCGAGAAGATGGCCAGGCTTGAAAAGCAGATTGGGAGTCGATTAAACAACTTCGAGCAGGTTGTGGGGAAGGTAGCCGAGGCAGTCAATGTCGACACCAAGGTGTACACATCTCACGACCACCCGTTCACAGAAAATATTATCTGGGTGCCGCTGCCAGATAAGTATAAATCACCCCCCATTCCACTATATGACGGAATGAGTGATCCAGATGATCATTTAGAGGTCTACACCGGACATATGGTTCTCCACGGATATCCTGAGGAGATCATGTGTCGAGCGTTCAAGAATCATCTCTCTGATTCTGCTAGGAAATGGTTTAGATCCTTAAAGCCTAACTCTGTAGCGAGTTGGGACGATTTGAAGAATGTCTTCTTAACTCAGTTCATAGGAGTCAAGAAGTATATCCCGTCGAAGCAGAACCTTTCAAGGGTCTACCAGGGGCCAGACGAGTCTCTCAAAGATTGGATCGCGAGATTCGGAGAGCAAGTGGCTGCCATAGAGGGAATCACAGATGAGGTAGCACTAATGGGAGCCTTGGCCAGCATGAGGAGGGATATCCCATACAGTACAGACCTCGATCGGAGGCCACCACAGACATATAAGGAGTTCTTGGTGAGGGCTCAAGGATTTATCAACGAAGAAGAAGTCGAGGCCAATGACCCTGAGTGCCGATCGAGCAAGAGCCAAGAAATAGAGGAGTGGTCTACCTCTGAGAAGCAAGAAGGCCAAAAGCGTCGCGGTAATGGTAATGAGGATGAACCTGAAGCTTCGACTCTTAGTCAGCCGGAAGCAAAGAAGCCAAGGCAAGAAAACGACGGAAGGCCTCGACCGTTCCAACGATACGACTCAATACCAACGACTGCAAGGACTTGAGAGATGAAACTGAGGGACTCATCCGCGATGAACGACTCCAAGAATTCGGAAGTAGTAAGATTCAAAAGCTTGTTCATGCCACATCGGCTTATCTACGTTTATCCTTCAAATCCTCAAAGTGGTCGACCCCAAACATAACATGTTTGCCTAAAAACTAAGGTTTTAATTTGGCATGGGGGGCAAGAAGGGATCTACGGACCACGTTCAACAGCAAAAATAAGTTCAAAGAACTTACAACGCCGAGTCCTCTAAGGACGAAATGCTAACAAGCATAGCTAATAGAGCCTCTAAGGATGAGAGGCTAAAATATATATATATTCGACTGTTTGGCAGATCATGACGCTCTCTAATGTTCGACACTCTAGAGCTCCAGCACCTCCCTCGCCCCCTTCAATCTTCCCTCGTCCAGATACTTGACCTCGGCCTCTTTCACTTCTGTTAGCCTCCACTTGCGCTTTGACCTTCTCTAATTCCTCAAGAAGGTCTCATACTTCCCACAAGGCCTTATTCATCTTCCTTGCGTTGGTCTTTGAGGTGAGTTCTTCCGCGTCAAGGACAGCCGTCAGGATTGTCCCGATTCGGTCCATCTCATTGCTCCGACCCTCGACCTTGACTATGTCAGCGAGGACGAGGGAGAGGATAAGAGCCTGCAAAAGTGAATAGGAGGACCTACTTAGAGTAGAGAGTATTAAGGGAAAACCATGAAGGTCAGCTTGCAGAAGGAAATCCAAGAAGGTCGAGGCTTACATGTATCTGGTGAGAGACTCTTATGTTGGTGGTCGAGGAGAGAAGAAATGTTGGCGTCGAGCATTCCGAACAATACGCAAACAACAAAAGGTAAGTTTCCTAGTTCGTATTCTTCTATTTTCTAACCATCCTCATGTAGGTATCATCATGAGCTAGCGTGAAAGTATAAAAGAAAGGCAGTCTCTACAGGGCTAATGCAGGAAAACAAAGAGAAAATGAAACTTGATCCAACAGTTGAAATTCAACTCTCGACTGCCACCTGCTAACATGATCGACATTACTGCTCCACAACTTGAGAAACCAGCAATAATGATGGTGTTGTTTGGGAAAAGTAACTGCCAAGCTTACCAATGAATGATTTCTCGACTTGCCATAGCTTGAAACATCACGATGTAATATTCCAAGCTGGGGGGCAATTGTTACACCATGGTCGACCATTCAAGCCACCTACTTTTGTCGTACGCATCGAGAGCTCCGAAAGTCAGGACAAATCCCTGATGTCGAGAACTAACAGTTAGGGAGATGTCTCTGGGTCGAGGAGTCAAGGTGTTGGAGTCGAGAAGTGCTTAAGGTCCTCTCAAGACCTTTGCGTCGTTGAAGTCGAGAAGTATGCTAAAAGCCCTTTGAAGCCTCTAGGTCGAGGAGTCAGTAATTAGATCAGACCGGAAGCAGTCCAGTCAAATCCAGCAGCGGTCTTGTCAACTCGAAAAGAGAAGTATTGATCCGACTGCTACTGCAGGAGTCAGGAAATCAGGCGGCAGACAGGAAGGATCAGCCGCATTTCCCGGAGCAGCCATCATGAAAACTCACCTACCCTCACGCGGATCAAGGACAGAATATGGCTTCCTCCTTGGGAACGGGGAATACGTATTCACATGTAAAGGCCTATAAATAGAGCCAAGAAAACCGAGAGAAATGAGAGAGACCATTTCATGAAAAAAGAAAAGAGAGTTTGTAACCGGTTGAAAGATTAGTGCATGCACAAGTGGATTAGGCAAAGAGTTATTGCCGAACCACTATAAAACTCTTGTCTCCCGTGTGTTATTTTTGTGCATTAATCCTTAATTGAACCGCGAGTGTTTTTGGGAGAGGTAAACACGAGTTGTCGGAAAAACACCGTCAACAACTAACACTAAATATTAGTAATTAGCGTCAATGTATTAATGCAAAATTTGTATATACGGGGTTGTTTGAACTTGAAGGTTATGTCGTTGATGAGAAAGTTGAGGTACAGTAATAATGCAAGAAGAATGATTGAAAAATAAACTTAAAAAAAAAATGCATGGTTCCTACTTCCTATTTTGCCAAGAAGTGCTTATAAACTCTGTTCATTACATGGTTTCGTGTGTTTTTCTTGACTCCCATATCACAAGAAGTTGATTCCATGTGTTTTTTTTTCCTGGAGTTAAATTGTGCCAAGATGAACATATTCTGTTGTTATTTTGACAGTTGAATGATCAAAGAAAAGATATAGATTAACATAGATGGATTTTTAGGCGTATGTCTTGGGATTAAATCCAAGTATTTTGGAGCATAACACAATCCTGTAGTACAGAGCATTGACTAGTTGGTGTTTTTATTAATATTTTTATACATGATGATCTGCAAGTCCAAGATAAGGAAAAACGTAAGAATTGAAATGATCAGCTTTCTGTCAAAAGAATCTCCAAATAAGAAAATTATAACGATGAGGACCATTGGATAGCTGGCATTGACCAGTCACAAACCCAATGAGCTGCAAGTCTAAATATTAAAAAAATAAAAATAAATAAAAAAAAAGTTCCAATTCTTCATTATTATGTTAAATCTACAAGTACAAAAAGAAAAGAAAAGATATCAATAAGAGAGAGCATATAATATTTTTCTTCTTCTATTGGCATGTGCCTGTCCATGTATATACAAAAAGAAATGCGTATTCCGTGGCAATGAACAAAATAAAAGAGCGAACAAAACTAATTAATGGAAAAGACAGAAAAAAAAAAAAAAAGGCCTTATGAGGAAGAGCTGGCCTCAATACTAGTAGAATAAATTTGCTGATCAGGAATAAACTTGGGTTTCTCTTCAATCCATTTGAGAATCTCCCCAGCATATCTGAGAGCTTCATCAACTGTATCAGACTCCAACCCATTAATCAGCGAAACAAATAGTTTTCTATCCGTCAAAGAATGGAACAATCTCTTAAACATCACAGCAATGTAGTGAAATGCGCGATTAGCTAACGTAGGATTGTTAATGTTGTTGTTGTTGCTGCCGGTGGGATGGTGGCCTATAACAGGACAGAAGTTGGGAAACCATTCGCAACGAGAGAGAGGCACTCTGTCGATCTTTTCTTCAAGAAGATCGAACTTGTTGAGTATCAAAAGGAAGTGTTTCTTCTCAAAGGAGGGATGAGTTATGATGCTCTCGAAGAGCTGCTTGCTTGCCATCATCTTGTTAACGAGAACTCCATTCCCATCATAGTAGAACTCGTCGTAGTCAGACAGTGCCACACAGAACAGGACCATATCGACGTCTTCAAACATCTGCAACCACTTGCAGTTTTCTCCAAGGCTGCTGGAATGCACTCTTATGAGTTGGCACCTGCTGATGATAGCAAGCTATTTATATAAGCAAAATACTTGACACAAAGATACACGAGTATTTCGAAATATGTATGAAAAAAACATTTACTGAGATATTTTTGAATTGTCAAATTTTTCATTAAATTTTTTTTGATCTCATAAATACTAGCTTTCAGTTTAAATTTATTACCACAGAAGTTCCATAGATGTATTCGTTTTTTCAAGAGAGATATTGTTTGAGAATCTAAGCTTAAGTACTGAAATGATGCCATGAATAATCAATGGATGAAACAGAAGAGTTAACCTCATCTTTGGATCGCGTCGAATCGGAGAGTCGACAATACTATCTTGCTCCAATTTGGGACACGAAAACTCCACGGACGCAACACTGTTGGATGAGGTGATTCCCTCGGCATACAAGATATCCGTGTCAGAGGGCTCATAATCTGTCCTTGAAATCTCAATGGCCTGCCAAGAAGGGAAAATTCTTGAGATTGTATAGGAAACTTCTGCAATCTGATTATGATTGGGAAACATACTCATATCCAAATTTATTTACTCTATTGAGAGAATAATAGTCAAGGAAGAACTTTTGTGCTAGCCAAAGCAAAAAGAAAATAGAACCACAGCCAAATTTAGGATGATCACCGAGCATGAACTGACCCGATTGAGGAAATATGTAGCAGCTCGGGGAAGCATTTCCAATTCGTTCCTCCGGTTATAGGTTGCTTGGATGGCAGCGTCGTTCCAGAGGTCCTCGACGAATTGTGCATATTCACGAGTGGCAGTTGGAAATATGGCTTCCAAATTTCCTGATGCCATAATTTTAAGGAGCCAATCTGAGAAAGCTTTCAGACGTGGGCCAATAGAATAGATTGTTGTTTCATCTATCTGCTCTGCACTCCCTGTTGTGAAATAATAAATTCAGATGGTACTTTGAAAGGTAAATGAAGCATCTTCTTAAGCAAGAAAGAAGCACTAAATGCATCCCTAAGCAGCAAGATGAATTCACAATATGCAATTACTAAAAATATATTCTGCAAATATAAAGTAGAAAATAGAATTTGACATCACTTTAACTTAATGGAGTCAAGATATAATCAATTCACATTGTACCTGAAGGACGGGGTTGGTCAGATAGCCGTCTCTTTTGCTTCTGTATCAAACTTTCTTCTTCGAATTGTTCTCGTCCCTCTAGCAGTATACCAAGATAGCCATACAGCTTGCTTTGGATCATCAATTTAATGTTTTGACGCTCTTCTTCAGAGAAAGGAACATTGTATAGAATCTTCGCCTGGAATAAGAAAATAATTTGTTTCAATTGAAATCAAAGCACACTATTCGGGTTTCATTCTCAGTAGTCGCAATGTGCAAATTGAACAAACGAAACCATGACACACTTTCAACACAAGACTTATCATGGAGGCAAAAGAAAAAGAGGGTTCTAGAAAGGCATGGAACTCTTCCAGGAGGGACAATTACCATAAACCAAGTAAACAGATTACTAGATGAGAACAAAGAGAAGCACAGATTATTATTAAGAGGCTTTCAGCCATGTAAGACTGACAATACATCAGCACAAAGTACTCAACAGTGAGACGCGAAGTTATTAGCATTTCCCTGTACATATATTTTTATCTAACCTGTTTGAATATAGTACTTGTGCCAGATTGATCAGAACCAACTAGGAGAAACTTGTTTAGCTTTCTCTCCTCAAACTGAGCTGAACGAACTCTATCCCCTTCTTCCGTTGTCAAATTGGAAGCATCAGAAGGAATAGGCAAATTCAAGAGAGCACAAGCTAGCTTGACAGTTGCCTATGAAAAGGAAAACAAAAAAGTAGCCTCACAATTATTTAAAGCTTCTTGTATGTAAGACTAACTATGGAAATGAAGCATGTAATTGCACTGATAATAGTAATAACAGGCGTCTCAATATAAAACATGGAAACATACCTTATCCCATATTTTCCCTTTCACTTTGTTCATTCCCTCTTCCTGATAGGACCCATCTGGATTTACCCAATAGTGGAGATCTCCTTCACACGGCACACCTGCCAACTGCAATAAGTTCAAATAAAAACTCATTGATCTCATGAGGATTCACAATCAAAGAAATGAACTTGAAAAGTTTATGCAGTAAAAACAAAACACCTTAAGTATCCAAAGCTCTACTTCAGTTATCTCCCTATTGTTTATCTGAATATTTGTGTTGCCGTTGCTAGCATTCCGTTTTAAATTGCCACCAACGTTCAGCTGGGGACTAATAATTTGGGAATACACACGTCCTTCCTGTTTCATAAATAGCGTAATAAATCACAACCGATCATCTAAGAGAGAAACATAAAGTTTAAACTTCAAACTCACGAAACACACAGAAATAGAACATACAAGATTCACGGACAGATCGATCACAAGGAGCCTCAGGAAGAGATAACAACAAAGCCTATAAGTGATATTTACTGTAAGTGGTATTTAAATGTCCACAAATTCCTGTCCAATCAACAGTTGTCTGGATAGAATCACTTGTTCACTTACGGACTATGGTATTACCTCCTCCTAAAAGTCGATCTGCATGCGGGTTTTGTTTGTTCTGCTTCTTTGTGTTATTATCAAAAACATATAATTTAGAAAAGACATTATTAAAAGAGTTCATTTTTACCTTTCCCCAAAACCCAGACACATTATCATACCAATACGATCCAGGTTTCAGCTTCCTTGGTGGGTTTTTACAGCTCTTCAAACGCGCAAGCTCCTCTTGACTCAGAGGCTCCCCGTTAACAAAGACCAAGTTCGCAGGCAACTGATTGACTTTGCAAACAACCTCGGCTTTCATAATCTGCTCAACTTCCAACTCCGTCAACAATCTCTTCAGCAATCTAGAGCATTTTCCCAGTTTCCCTCTTCTCCCCTCATCAATCCTGTACCCAATACAACTAACGCATTTCCTTCCCTCAGGCATCGACCCCATGGCTCTAAGGACACAGCCGAAGCAGTACTTGGCACCGCAAACGATGCAAATCTCCTTCTCCGTGAATCGGTTCCCGTTGTGGCACCGGTAACATGACCCCTTCTTGCCTGTTCTCACGGCCCTCGGCGGTCTCTCCTCCACCGCTTCCGCCTCCGCCTCCGCCTCCGCCTCCACCGAGTCGCTCCACTCGTCTTCCTCCACGGATCGCTTGCGCGCGTGGCGAGGAGTTTCGCCTGTTTGACCGTCTTCTTCGTTTTCTCCCTCTTCTTTGTGAGAGAAGACATCGGAGGAGAGGCTCGATTCCTCCGCCGATTCCCAATTTCTAGGGTTCATGTAATCGCCGTCGCGGGGTAATTCTACTATCTCCGACGGGCTCGGTTGGAGCTCCGGTTTCCTAGATTTGACGATAGGCACGACGACCGGGACGGCGAGATCACGGAGGAGGGAGGAAGAGAGGGCAGCTACGGCGACGGCAGCTGTGGGGATTTGGTCAAAGTCAACGGGGGAGACGTGAGGGATGTTGTACGTGACCGGAGGCCCGGTGTACTCCAACGCCATCGAGTATTCCAAGTTGAGAACATCATCGTTTTCTTCGACGACGGCTTTCGGAGTCGCCAAAGAAGGATGAAGCTTTCTCAGAATCGCAGCCATGGCCGACCCAAAAACAGAGGCAAAAACAAAAAAACAAAAAAACAAAAAAAGAAAAGCAAACAAAGCAGCTATTTCCAATTCACACCATTGGCGAGCCTGAGAAGCTTAGCCAGCAGTTTCCACGACCGACGAAGTCGAACGGCAGGAAAACGCCATTCTCTGAGAAGAAATGTAAGAGAGAGAAAGAAGAGAGAGAATGGTTGTGAAAGAATTGGTCGTTTGTAGGATTAGAGAAGAAGATTGTTAGTCAAGTAAGTTGCTTCCATTAAAGTCAGCGAGTGAGAGGATCGTTGACTCGTTTGACTTTCATAACAATTGGAAATTGCTGGGAATCGAACACGGGAACGGCAACGCTTTTGGCGCGTACAGCGTACGTTGACTTGGTCAAACATATTCCCCTGAAAACGTTTCTAGGGAAACATATATAGATTTTTGCTTTTACTTGTTGTACGTTGGAGATTATTTGACTACTGAGGGTAATTTTGACCATTATGTATAACTGAAGGAGGTATATTTACGTTATGAAGGGACTTGGAGCAGAGTACTTTTCTTTATGGCACGTGGTACACACGGCAGCGGGCAGTATAATGAGAACGCGTATAAAACTTAAATTTTGTCTCTTATGTCCGACGTGTCATCAGTCCGGGAGAGGTCAATTTTCCCGCCGCGTTGACTCGGTTACGTCACTCGTTGAGTGGCTGGTCGTGAACAACAGTATTGAGCTCATTGTCACAGGCGGCCCAAGGGAAAGGCCACTAAGGCCGTTGCATTAGCCCCTGATGAGCAAAGGCCCCATCTTTTTTATGAGAAATAGTAGAAGATAAGTCAATATAAAAAGCTTAATATATAGGTCAATTTTTAGTTATAGAAATTAATATGTCATAATTTGTTAAGTTATGGTTTATAATCAGATAAGTTATAGATAAATTTGTTAAGTTATGAATCATAACCAGACAAGTTATGAACAATAACTTATCAAGTTATGGTTCTTAACCATATAAGTTATAGACGAAAATAATAATTTGGCATATTTATTAACTTATATAAACTATTGATCTATTAATTTTAATTAATGTCAAGTCTTAACTTATTTTTCTCTTTCTCTCCTTTTTTAGTTGCACCAGGTAGTCGGGTAGCGGCCCAATACAAAATTTTGAGTCCACTTTTTCTAAGAAATTTTGACAAATATTCTTACACTCGTGCTTTTTTAAAGATAAATTTCTTTTTTTTTTTTTTTGACAAAGGATCGATTTCCTTAAATAATTGTTTTTGGTTTTCCAATTTTAACCTTAAATAGTTTGTGTGCTCTTCTTTAGAGAGCTTTGATGGAAAGATTTTTACGGTCTTTCAGGGGACGTTTGTTTCCTATATTCATCATTGATTCTGAATCATGATTCATGGTTCTTTACAGTGTTTTCTCTCACAAAAAATACATGTAAAATAAAAATAGTTATGAATCATGATTCTGAATACATAAACTAAACGTCCTCTCAATTTCTTTCTTCAATCATTGATTCCAGACAAAAAAAATTTGGCACCACTTTCATAAAAAATAATAAATAGTAATGAACTCACGGTAGCAAATCTAAAGTCCATTGCGTTTAAGGTTACAGTTTCTAACCGGGTAAGGTGAATGAAAGCTCATTTTTTGTCTTCTTGAGTACATTGCCTTTGTGTATGAAAAACTCTTAAAAACAACTAGGCCTGTTTAAAAGGTATGTTTTAATTTTGACGCTTAAAATTTAAATTTTTATGAGAGAAAAATATTGTATCAGAATCAATAATTTAAATTTAAGTATATAAAACAAACGAGTTCTTAAGAAACAAAACTTAACAGTACTCCCGTATATTTTTTAACACATAGCCAACGGTAAGTGCGTTTGATTTGAAGAAATTTGTTCTATTTAACAATTTTATAGTGGAGGTAGAGCATCCTAATTTGAGCATCCTCATTTGCAAAATAAAATCAACGAGTTAAGTTTAACTACAGTTATAAATATAGATTAGAATTTAAGCATAACTAACTTTAGTTAAATGAAGAAATTAACAATGGGATGAATATTCTAGTATCACTGAAATAAAGTTAAAATAAATACTTTGAACTCTCCTTATATAGGTTTCAGACTCGTTTATCTTTTGCTTCTTAACCAATGTGAGAAAAGGCTCCTTTTTTTTATTTTCCCAAAAGCCTAACGTCTTATTCATTTTTCTCATTCGAATTGAGAACTTGAGTTAAAAAGTTAATTCATGTGAGAGAAAATATTATAGTAGAAAAAATTAAATATAAATTTTTGTAAGAGAAAACTCTTTAGTAAAAACTTGAGTTTTAATTCAAACTAGCGAAATAAACGGGGCCTAATAATTTTCACCTTTGGCTAAACATTATTTTACTATCATAAAATTACAAGCATCATATTTTGCATATTGTACACAAACATTCTCAACCTATTCAAATTTTTTTTAATCCTTATTCTATTGTCCTAAAGTTACAATTTTTGTTTGTTCTCCTATTCATCGATTATTAAAAGAGTTTGTTGTTTGATTTCATTGATTATAATAGTGAACATCCTTATTAAGTGATAATCTTTATTATAGGTTAAAGTATTAAATTATTGTTAGTCCATCTTCTAACAGCTTAAACTTTTGGAATAAATGGGTAAACTAACATGGTATCAGAGCGGGAGATTATGGGTTCAAACTCCCGTAATTGCACTCTTTATCCCCATGTCATCATGTGTTGGGTATTTAATATATCACGGGCTTAAATATTCACGTGTTGGCCTTTTCAATTAATTTATCCACACAATTGTCCATTGTCCAGCCTACGCATGAAGGAGAGTGTTAAAGTATAAAAATATTGTTGGCTCACCTCCTAACAGCTTAAGCTTTTGGAATGGATTGGTAAACTAACATTATAATGACCATCTTTGCATATTGAAGGCAAATATTGCTGACTATTTCCAAATTTTAATATGTTTCATTATTATAAAGTTTTAGTTTTTATGCCCCTGTTAGTAAGACTGTTAGTGTCATGAGAAATTATACACATGCTTTTAGATACTTTTACGATAAAATGAAATTGTAGATAACTTTTAATTTGAACACAATATGTAAGCATTTATGTAATTTAATCCTTTCTAGGGACCCCCATTTTCGATGTTTTATTTGATAAAATTTTTTACGTATAAACTGTATATTATTTCGGTGAATAAATTAACCACCTTTGTATAAGTAAAATCACTGGCTTAAACATTTTTCAACTAGTGACTAACTGATTATTTGATAAATAAAGTTTTTACATATTCCAAATTATCTGATCAAAGAATTAAAGCAAACTACTAATAATCTACTTTGGAGTAAACTTGCAGTTTAAAAGATCAGGAAAAAAATCTCAACACAAATATATAAGTAATTAAACTGAAACACTAGCCTATTTTTAAGTAAACGAATTGCTTAAAAAAGGGGAAACATTCTTCATGCAAACACAGAATAAAGTAAATTATTGGTCTACTTTTGAGTAACCAGTGGTTTAAAGAAGTATAAAAATAGGAACTTTCCGCACAAGCTGATGACTTTGGAGTTTGGACCGAGGAGACTTAAGACGGCATCGGCGGCGAGGGGAAGGAGTGAGAGGTTGTCGTTGCCCCAGTTCAAGAAGACAGAGAAAGGAAATGAGAGAGAGAAAGTGAGGGCTAAGGTTTATTTAGGGTTACTTTTGGTATTTTAAATATTGAAAATGGTATGTTTGAAAGGAAATTATAAAGTGATATTTCTCCCTTTTTTTAAATAAGAAAAATGACCGTATTTTTATAATGAACTCATTTAGGCCCCCCCATCATTCCTTTCAAAAAGATATAACCTTAATTTCTTGGAGATAGTACGGTACGGTATGAAAAATGTCCTAGTGGTAGCCCTATATATTAGACAATCACATTTGTGTTGAGTTCTTTTTTTTTTTTTTTGCACTTATATATATTTATATATTATTTTGATGTAATTTTAGTTAGATCTAATGTTTAAAAACTTACATTACTGTCATAGAAGGCTCCTAATTTCTGCTCTAATTCCAAATACACTTTTTTTTTAAGGATTCCAAACACACTTTCGTTCTCAAACACTGTCCTATTTTAGTCAATTAGGATTAAAAAAAATTAAATTAAAAAAAAAAACTGCTTTGGTCTCCAGTGTTACAGAAGTTCTGTAGAAAATAGTGTTAGAAATAATATGAGAATTTCCATTTCTGCATATAAGTGCACGTTCAAAAATATGCTTTAGTTTTTTTGGGACAAATCATCAAGATTCAAGAGGGAAGCTCAGCCTTTGGAAATTTCTGAAGTAGGCAGACAAGTTGTTTGCCACGTACGTTATATATCTTATGCATTTAGGATAAGACACTTCCCAAAGTGACTTGCCAATGTGAAATTGTGAAATATGCATGAAACATAGTTTTATCGCGCGTTTTTGTTACCGTTGACGGTAGAATTTCGTCAACAAGATTACGCCGGGTTATCTCCTTGTGTTCCGTCGAGTTGCTGGCCCTATTATTGTTATGTATTTAGATTAATGCTATAAAGCGTTTGTTTAGAATGAATATGATGAGAAGTGTAAAGAACAGTGCCCGAATAAACACATAGAAATTTTATAGTGGTTCACTCTATAAGAAAGAGTTACATTCACTGTTTGTTGTATTTCTCTTTGATTCTCAGATTACATAATCCATTCTCTCCCCTCTTTGGGGCTTTTCTCTTTTTATAATCTATGGATCACATATCGACCCCCTTTTGGACGGACTGACACAGGGATTTTAATGATGACTTTGCCCCAAGTGGCCTACCATCTTATTTACCTAGACTGTAGTCTGTCAACGCCTTTTGCACTGTTCACTTACCCCTTTCGTCCACTATTGCGGCTCTGGGGATCCTCCTTTGATTTCATTGGTCCTCCACAGGTGGTTTATGGGCCAGCAATCATTTCCTGGTTGCTGACATTTTCCAAGTCCATACGCAATCTGGGGATTTCCCCTTGTCCACTCAGGGGACTTTCTGGGGACGTGGACCCATATTCATGCGGTCTGCTCTTTGCGCCTACATAATACAATGTCAGCCGCAGGCTCCCTATCAGTCAACCCTATCATGGTATCTCTGATGTGAACAAGTCATGTAGGCCTCGACTGTATATGGGGTCGACGGTCTTATGAGTCGTCCCGTACAATCGACCTTTTCACCATAAAGAATTCCAGGCGACGACAGCTATCTGACGTGACTAACATGAGGTTACGTGGCCATTATTGTTGTCCGACGTGTTAGCACACATTTTTTCACACAACAATTACTTTTGCATGAATTACGTGTGAATCATGAGTGACTACTAAATGGGAAATAAAAAAATAAAATAAAAAAAGTCATGGCTACAAATTTTCTTTTCCGCTGAAAATTGTAAGTTGCAATTTCAACACATGGAAATTTGGTCTTCGACAATTTTGAGGCATTTGCCTCCTTTCTCCAAATTATAATTCTTTATTTTTCCATGCCAATTCGATCCCCTCTTTGTACACATAAATTTTTGGCAATGAATTTACGTATGTCTAGTAGTCAATTTCTTTTATCACAAAAGAATAAAAAAGAAGTCATTAGCCTTTTGATGCCAGATTCGATCCCCTCATGGTACACATATACATTTTTTTTTTTTGAAGGAAATTTATTCAAGGAAAAGCCAATTGAACATATTTTAATATTGCAGAAATACATGATAAAATTTTGATATATATGTTTGTATTGACAGTGGTTTTCACACTCACAGTAACCTCTCACGAATTAATTAGGGATTAATACTGTAAATTAAGATAGAGAAGACAAGAATTTATAGTGGTTTGGCAATATTTATTGGCCTAGTCCACTTGTGGATGCACTAATATTCTATTGATTACAACTTCTCCGGTGATAGTTGAATAGTGCGTCGTCCCCTTAATGAATTTCCATGGCTCTATTTATAGGCCTTGTACACATGAGAGACCTCCTCTGCATTTCTCGAGGAGATCATCCTCTATCCCTTAATTCTGGGATTTGATAATTGTATTTTCATGATTACAGCTTCCTAGTCAGGCGAACCACTCTTACCAGCTACCTGATTTCCTGACTTCAACAGTAGTAGTTGATATAGTATATCTTTCCTTGAGTTGACGGGATGTGATCTTAATTTGATCTCCCGGTCTTATCTAATTCTTGACTCCTCGACGCAAAGGCTTCAAGGGGCTTTGTAGACTTCTCGACTTCAACGATACAAAGGCCTCAAGAGGACCTTAAGCACTTCTCAACTTCAACGCCTTAGCTCTAAGAGCCCTCCTTAACCTAGAAACATCTCCCTAATTGTTAGTTCTCAATGTCAAGGATTTGTGCTGGCTTCCGAAACTATCGACGCGTACGACAAAAGCGGGTCGTTTGAATGGTCGACCATGGTGTAACAGTTTGCATGACTTTGGAATTACTCTTTGAATGAGTGGGGCACTAATATTGTTATGTACCTAACAAAAATTAATTATCTATTATTTTTTTAGTGCACAATTCAAAAAGGAAGAAAAACGTGAAAAATATAATTCAATACAATGTGTGTTGGATTCTGTAAGGAAAGAAAATTATTTTCATCTCTTTCTTTGCTTAACAAATTAATTTAATTTAAATGTACTTTACTCCAAACTAATTTAATTAGCCCTCTTCATATTTAAAGTTTTCACCGTCCTAGTACATTTTTTTTCTCTTCATTATCTTTGAATCCTCAGTAATCCAACTTACGTGGCATTAACATGCGCACACGTCTCCTTCTAGATTTGAGGTTTAGAGTTCGAATTTCCTACCGCTACAGCATGGGAAGGCTTTCGTATCGGTTCAGAGCCAACGTTTTCCACGCCCGTAACCCGCTAATATATATTCACAAACTTGAACAATTGATATCATCAAATTGAAACCCAATAAAACATTAGTTGTACAAACTTGACATATGTACACCTATACAAATCAAGAACTACTCACTCAATCTTCCCTAGGAGGACAAGAAACTTGCAAACAAAAACCAGTCAATCTTGTCAACAATATAGTCCCCCAGGAAGCAAGCAAAAAAAAAAAAAAATGAAAATGAAAAACAAATGTATAACACTATAATCTCCTTTCCTTTTGGGTAATTTTTCACTTTGAAGCAAAATTGTACTTTTTGGTAAAAAATCGTATATACGTATTCACACGCATTTTGTCATTTGTCCAAATAATTGGTAACTTGAAACAGCAGCTAACGACGTCGACCTATTCCATCTTGCGTGGCAAGCTCCTACTGGCCCATTCCCAAAAGGACGGCCAAAAAGGGTATTTATGATGGGGTCGAAAGTCTAGCGACCTTGACAAATAAAACGGTTGGGGACCACCAACGCCGCCATGTACGCGGCCACCCCAACAGACCCTATCCGGCGTGTGGTTCACGATCGTCTTGGGAGCGTCAGATTATTCCCAGAATGTTATGTGCCTTCTTTGTTTTGGGCTGCTGATGACCTCTCCGTTAGAACGGACGACAAACCGACCAACCCCATTGTGGCCGTTGGGCGAAGGCGCGTAGCCATTACTCGGGCACTGCTGTTCCCAGGCCCTCATCTGCTTCAGCTCCGGCACGTTCTCCGACACGCGCCACACTTTCACCGACTTATCAAGGCTTCCGCTATACACTCTCCACCGCTGATCGCGATCATCACCGCGCTTTTCATCATCGCTCCGATCTTCCTCTACAGCCAGGCACTTAACCGGCCCAGTGTGGCCCGTCAACACCGAGAGGCAGGCGTGGGCCCAACTCGCGTCCCTCCTCCACACGCAAATATTCCTGTCCGCCGATCCACTGAAGACGAGATTCCCCGCGGTGGCCAAGCATAGGACGGCCAGCTTGTGTCCCCTGAGGACGCCCCCATGCGATAACCGCTTCTCTCTAACCCAGAAGTTTAATAGCCCGTCCGACGAACCGCAGTAAACGACGCCGTTTTCTTTATTAATAGCCAAAGCCGTGACCGCGCTCTCTTGCCTCAACAAAATCTGGAACAAGAAATGCCTGCTCGTGCCCGATTCCCCTTGGAGCTCCCTTCGCCACGCCTTCACCGTCCCGTCGGCGGAGCCCGTGAAAACCAACGAATCGAACCCCGAAACGACTGCGTTCACCGCGTCGTCGTGCGCCGTTATTGACTCGAGGCATTTTGACGTCGCGATTCTCCATACCTTTAGGGTCTTGTCCCACGACCCGGAGTAGAGTAATCCTTGCTCCTCGTTAAGACTCATGCAGGAGACGGCGTCGAAGTGCCTGATTCGGAGGACGTTACGGCGTCGTCGGACTTCGACGTAGTTCTTCGGGTTTACGGAGCTCTTGAGGGAGTCTTTGAAGGAAGGTAAGCTTCCGATGCGCTTGTGGAGTTTTGGATTCTTTTGAGATGTTTTCCAGACGCGGATTTTCCCGTCCTGGTGACCGGTGAAGATTCTATCGCCGGAGATCACGATCGCCTTGACTAATCCGCTACTGCATTTGAATCCGGTGAAGTCCTTGAGATTCTTCCACACGCGGATGTTCTTGCTGTCCGATCCGGTGTAGAGGAGGTCGCCGGAGACCGCCAGAGAGTACACGTGGCCCTCCTCTCGGACGAGAGATCCGATCAATCCGTTGCGAGGGAAGTTCTCGCCTTCGAAGGGGCTGAAAATAATCGGTGATGACGTCATCCACGGGGATTTCGTGTACGGAGAGCTCTGGCTATTCCACGGCGACATGGCGTACGGCGATACGCTGACCGACGGTGACGCGCTGCCGGTGTAGTAATACCCAGGGCTCATAACCGCTGCCGTCGTCGTTGTCGCTGGAGAGAAGCTGCTGTGGCGTCGCGACGACATGTCGTTTCCGTTACCGTCGTCGCGGTCGCGGTTGGCTGTGCTATCACGCCTCGGTGATAGGACGACGTCGTTTGGGTCGGAATGCAATAAGGCTCCGAATTTTTGCCGGTGAATAGCAGGCCGTTCCACCACCGCCATCGTACCGCCTTTTGCGTTTGTCATCTAAAATCGGAATCCGAGAAAATTGATATCAGTTTTTGATTGTTTGGAGTGGAAGAAAGTGAGGGAAAATTTTTTATTTTTCGGGTTATGAAAGACGGGTGAAAGGAGAGAGAGAGGGTGTATAAATAGGTGTTTTGGTGGTCGTGAACAGGTGACACGTAGAAAACGAGACGTGAGCGTTTGGGAACCGGGAAACCGGGTGTGCCGGTGAAATTGGTTATTTTGGGTTTGAATTTTATTTGCAGCGTTTAATCTTCACACGCTAGTTTGGGAAACCGTCGCGGGGTTCTTCTTAATTAACCACGTAAGGACTAAGGTATAGGAAGCGTCATCAAACCAAGGTTGTTGACTTTTGACTTTTTCTTGTTTTCGCAATGAATGACTTTTAAAGGGCACGTTCGTGTTTTGAAGTATTAGGAATTTTTGAAGTTGCTAGAACGGCGTCGTTTTTAGCGTTTCAAATTCTTCAGGGAAGTTTTTGACAGGTTTCTTTCCGGTATATATGCACATGGGTCATATTATTAAATTTTTTTTTATGACAAAGTAATTATGGTCAAATAACAAATATTTATTAAAAATTTCGTTTCGATATGCAGAATAGTAATAAGTGTTATAATTTTACTAAATAGTGGAATTAGTAAATATGTCAATATTACATTTTGATGTGAGATCGACTTGCGTCCATTTGTTCAGATACTGCTCACGAACTGATAACTCTAGAATTGAAAGATCATAAAAAGCAGTAATTTAAGCACTAATAATAATGTTTATATTGCATATGGAAGTTAGAAGCTATATGATCACAAACTTTTTGTATTACCACCCCAGATGTCCTTGGCTGATTAGTTTAGCAAATTAAACATTAATATAATGTCTATTATTACAATGCTGATTAACTTGAACCTTCAACTAAAGTGGGGAACAAGAAATCAAGTGAAAACAACTAATTTTTAGAATACTCAGAAGAAGAAAAAAAATAGATAAACAAAAAAAAAAAAAAAAACCTGTGATTTCGTCAATATAATAATACTAGTGTACTTGACTAGACATAATTATCTACTTAATTTCCAATAGTTATGGACAATAATTTAGGCCAGCCTATAATCCAAAAAGCGTATTTGTTTAATTTGGTAGGTTATCCTCAGTCATATTCCTCAGCTTTTTAATGTGCTTAATTTCCATCTTTAAGTCCAACTTGCCATATTATTCAAAAAAACATTCACACATATGGATAATATACTGTAGTCTGCATGCTATTTGTCATAAGAATTGAAATTATAGAGGAATTGGATCGTATGAATGTATGGTTTTGAGGAATTGGATAAACACAAGGCCAACTGTTACATTAATATATGATACACAAATTGTCAAAAGTGTACTATGCAGAAAAAAGCGTTACACTTTTCAATAACTTCCATTTAAATCACCGGCCGAAAAGTCATTGAAACGGTTGACGTCGTAGTTAGAACATCGTCGTCGTTCTCTGGCATGGCAAATATTCTTGAGCTAGTATTCCTAAGAGATAAGACATCCTCGATCAAGCTGGTCCATACATGTATATAAATATATTATTGTCGCTATCGCAGAGCTTATTATTATATCTCAATATTTTAGTGATGATTGGGACCTTTTCGTGATTAAAGACATGTTTAATTCGCTGATTCGAGTTTTTAATTTGAGTTGAGATATGATTTTGGCCCCGTTCATTTTATCGATTCGAGTTTTGTTACAATAAAAAGCTCTCAGAAACATTCACATCTATCTTTTTTACTACAGTAAAAAGCTCTCATATAAAGTCACATCTCAACTCGAATTAAAAACTCAAATCAGCGAACTAAACGGGCCCTTCATTTGAGAGCTTTTTACTGTAGCAAAAAAGTTAGATGTGACTGTTTATGAGAGCTTTTTGCTGTAGCAAAACTCGAATTCTAAATTTAAATTGATAAAATAATTGGGAAAGTCAAACTTCCACGACTTGTAGTTCATTCTTCTTAAATCTATTATTTTGACTTTACGGGGGTTTTTTTTTTTTTTCATTTTTTGGGTGCTATATTAGGATTCAATTCAAATATATTCTTATTTTCTACCTCAGTTTGTTCACTTAGCCACTTAATAATATCATATCGCATTAATTAAAATATTTTAAAACATTTTAACTGTCAATATCTTTTAATTATTTATAAGTGAGGATATAATTATAATTTTTTTATAAAATTGATATAATTAAACTTTAATATAGGTATTAGAGGTAGGAAAATTCTAAACGTTGAGTAGGGCACATGTCCCTATTTAATTTGTATAAAATTCCTCTGCGTCATGCGTAGAAACTAAAACACACTATGAAAAAAAAGAAGTATCAATCTCCTTAACATGCTGTTTAACATTTTCATTTTTCTCTACAAGCTTTCACTTTTAAATTAGAGCAAGGAACGTTTGTTCTTTCTTTACTTTATTTTATCAATAAATACACGAATATGTATGTAGTTTTGTTCCAAGTCATAAGTTGGTAAACCATAATATACTTCAAAACTCCTAACCGGCGACGCTTTTCGGCGTTCATTAATTCTTCAACGCCGAGGCGCGCAAAAACCGCGTACTTTCGCCACCACCTAAAGTCTTCGATCGTTGAGCGTGACAAGGACGTTACTTTTGTTGCCAAAAAGAAAAGATACAAAATACAAAACCGATTAGTACTCTTGATATATGAACAGCCACGCATCACTTTTTTTTTCATCATTCTTTTCATCACATTTTACATTTATTATTTTACACGTAAATTCTACTATTTCATTTTCTATTTAAATAATAACATATCATATTAATAGAATTTACATGTCAAACAATAAATACAAAAAAAAAATGATACTAATATTTCTCTAATTTTTTAACATGTTTTTTGATATTAAATTTGTTCAAAATTACATATACAAAATTAATTCAAACCGTTACGGACTTAATAGTCCATGTGAGGCCAATTAGGACTTCATTATTACCACTTGAAGCTAACTCAAATGGTGCGTGAGTATATGCGTGTATACATCAAAGTTTAAATTTTGATAGCTCATTTTATGTGAAAGAGATAAGTCTCATACTGTATATATATTTAAAAAAAATTCAAATCCCACTCTCAATTTAAAAAATATATACATAAATAATATAAAGGGGATATAATCATTTCGGTACCTTATAATAGTGAGTATCCTATATTTTTTATAATATTAAAACGGTATCCAAATTTTTTCAAAAATATCTTCTTAGTACCTAAAAGCTAATTTTTAACACATATAATGTCTAAACTACCATTCTTATTAATTAATAGAAATCAATATTTTTTTTTAAAAAAAAATCTGAATATATTTTAACTTTAAAATTTTTGAAAGAAAACTTCATGATTTTTTTTTCTAGATTTTTTAGTTTTTAGTTAATTAAATAGAAGGAAACTATATTCATTTGCACAACTCAAATCATGACTTGAATTGTGTATGTAAAAATAAAAAATATTGTAGCAAAAAAATTAAATTTAAATTTTTATAAGAAAAAACACTATAAAAATATAACTCGAGTCCTATCTTAAACAAGGCCAAAATCATTTTACGTTTCATAAATCAACTCTACTACGAAAATATTTTTAAAAACATAAAAATGTCATTTTAATATTATAAAAAATACAACATACTAAAAACATATTTTACTATTCTATAAAATAAAAAAATAAAAAAAAACATTTTTTACTATAATACTGGGTGCCAAATTTTATTAATATATAAATTACGCTCTAAATTGGTTATCCGCCATGAAACAGGACATTTTATGCGTGTTGACCAATAATATGACAACACATGTTGATATATTTATAGAACAATTGTGTTAATACATAAGCATGACGAAATCAGCCCAAATATGTGCTCTGACAGCTGTGGAAAAGGAATCTGGTTCTATACTCAGGCAACTGACACGTGGCTAGCTATATGGCCCTCATTGGATGACATAATTCGTTTCTTGGTGCAATATAGTTGGTTTTCCTTTTTCCCTTTTTTTTTTTTTTTGGATCAGGGGGTAGCTATTTTCGATTAGTGGTGCCGTGGTGGTGGGTTCTACGTGCTGCATGAATGTTAATTTCCTTTTCTTATTTTCTTTTGATGATAAATTATTGATCCCTTTTCTTTTATGATATTCTTGCCAAATTTGGACCTTGTGTGTGCATGAATTATGAGAAACTCGTAAGCTAAATTAAGAAATATTATTAACAGAACCGATTACTTTCTTATGTAAATAGAATACAATTGATACGTTTATATATAAATTAATAATTGCTTGTTTCATTGTATGGATGTCGTGACACGTGAATATGCAATTCAGCAAGCAAAATATATAGATTTTGAAATTAGCTAGTCTAGTTATAATAACAAATTATTAACTGGGATAGGAATAATATTATCTTTGATAATAGTTTATATTATCCGATGGATTTGATCTATCGTGTTGTGCAATTTAGTTCATGAGCTGAGACAAGCAAAACATACTCGGTGCGTTACTCAATAATTTCCGGTTGATATTTTCCTTTGTTTACTAATAAACACATAAAATGCCCTAGTGTGGAAAAAGATGAATTTAAAATATATATTATTTTTATATCTATATGTTCAATGAACATATCTACAATTGTTGCCGGTAGGTATAGACTATTAAGTTCTTTTATGGCAGCCTTGTTGAATACTTGCAAACCGGTTTCACAGCATAGTTGACTTTGATGCAATTATCCAAAATATATAATTATACGATCTATTTCTCTATAACTTATAAAGTCACGTAACTGCCTTCTTTCACAAAATTTTCATGTAAAATTAATAATATATCTCTGCTTTTTTTTATGACAAATTATTTAGTTGTTATTATATGGCCGCGGGTCATGGAGCCAAAAATTTACAAGAAGACGAAAATATAAAAAAAAATACATATATATATATGTATATGAATACATATATACACACACAGCAATTCAAACTCGTAATTAACAAGCTAAAAGGTGTTATCATTTCCATTTGCCACTTGGTTATGTATAGTCAAAATGGTAAACT